CCCACCACCCGGTGGAGAGCTGCTAATTTTGTCCTATACTCGGCACTCAGGATCCTTGAGCGGGGAAAAGGATTTTTTGGGGGGCCCCCCTTTGGAACACGGGATCTCTGTTTATGGGTCGGGATCCGAAGGCCCCAACTCTGCGTCCCACAGTGGGATTCGTACCCGCGACGTACGGATCATGTGGTTATGGGTTTTTTTAATCATTACCTTTATAAAAGAAATTTATGACTAATTTTAAGAACGATCTTAGACTCGCTTTAAGGAAACACCCCTGACATAAAGAAAGTAACGGGGATTATATTTTCTAGAAAATGGGGGTTTTTTTTTTAACGTTTTGGTACTACGACGGTCGCTTTAATAAATAAATAATGCAACATGTCATCTGGAAGTAAGAAAAGTACACAATACATATTCTTAATAGTTTCAATTCCTCAAGGCATTTCCTGGTACCCTGTACGCGTGTCTAAGGTCGTTGTATCCATAAACAGAAATTTCGGCTCTCATCTGTAGGGATGCCTCAAAGACACTGACGAATATCATTTCTAATGTCATATATATCTAACATTGTACAATCTTCCTTTCATTGTTTTAATGTGCTTTAAGAATGAAAAGTTCCAGAGTGGTTGCAATCAAGCTAATATGGGTGATTAAAAAGTTTTGTATACTTTCTTTTCCTCAAAATCTTATTTATTTCTCTAAGCGTATATGCACCTGCGTTGTCAGGCACAAGAAAAATACCCTGGTCGCCGAATTTTTGAATTTCATTGCAGGACATCTTTTCAATTTTTTTTTGTGAATTTTAATAAAAGCTTACCATTGCTAGTCATTCATATTGATGCATGTACATGTTATAATAACCTTTAAATCCCAAAACTAATAAAATATTTTTTTGGAGCCACTGCTTCTCGTTTTGATAGTCAAATGACACCCTTTTCTTTGATTCTACATTTTTATCATTAATCTTATTTTACAGCAATAAAAAGGGGCCCCCATTTTTCATCATACATTAAGCAATTTTTCAAATCTTCTATTTTGTTTTAACATTTGTTTTAAAATAAACTGTTGGCACATTTAACGAAAGTTCACTCTTGGACATTTGTAAAAATAGGGCACCTATCTGATTGAAATATTGTTATATTTCTTTCCTTTGTCAGAATTCTACAAATTTCTGTGACGATTAAATGTTTAGTTTTTTAACAATGTCTTTCCATGTATAAAAGCTTTTTCTTAATTCATGTGACTCATAAAGTCGATATTTTTTGGTATCCCCTCAAATTGCAATTGACCACATTAACTGCTATATTTGAACTCTCGTGCTTTTCTTCTGAAATTAATCCATCTGAAAAGTATACAGCGTTCAAGATATTTATCTTCTATATGTAAGAATCATTTCTTAAATATGGGGTTTGAGGCGATTTATGTAAAAAGCGCAATTTTCGAATTGCTCTTATTTTCATTTTCCTGGCAAAGATTTTCAGCTCAGTGTAGTCCTTACTTAAAATTTGAATTTCTTCGCGAAGACAATGTGAAAATTCGTGGAATTTCTGTATTTAGGAGATCTTTAATAGAACTTTCCCAATATGAAAAAATGAAATTAAATGCCTCAACATTTATTATGATATACTAGGCTTGGCAAATGAGCTATTTTAAAGAATACGTGTTAGGCTTGGCAAATAAACTATCTAAAATTATTAAGTGTTAGGTAAATACAAATCTTTTCTGTTTTTCAATAACCTACCTGATATCTTTGTTTCCACACCCTGTAATAGCCAACATTGCCAAAGAATGGAACTACAAGAAAACAATATCGCAATTAACTTTCAAAAATATATTAAAGACATTCAATGGTCTTATTTCCACTTGAAAGATTTACAATTAAAACAATTTTTTTTTCCCACTTCAACGGATCTCTATTTTAAAATGTTTAAAGCTGTTAATGTGAGGGCAAACAGGATTTTATCTGATGTGTGAAGATTTTGGTATTTTGAACACTTTTAGACGACGTTTGCATTTGCAAAAAGTTACCTTAGATCGTCAGCGATATATCCATTTTTCTTATTCTTCCTATACGTTATTCATATATATTTATACTTTCTAAAGGTCTAATATATCATACTTCTATGGCAGAGTATGGAACAACAAAAGACAGCATATAAACATACACACATTCATTTTAATTGCATTTCTCAGACACTGTCCTCAAAGTTGGTTACTAAGTATATCTTTAGGAGAAAACAGTGCCTTTTGAATCTTTGACTGCTTTTCGTGACTGTAAATCAACATCAAAATGGACAATAACTCTGGATAATGTGAAAAACAAGTTTTATATTTTTTAAAAAATCCCTTCTGAAAACAGTTGGAGGTGAAGGACGGTACACTTGTCGTTTTGTTCTGTTTATGTGGCGACAAAGTGTACCTACATTTACTGCCCACAATGTCGTTATAATGGGTTTTTTTGTACATAGGACCAAATCCTAATGTAAGAAAGGTCTAAAGTTATGTCTTTGGATACATTTTCATGTGAAAGTTTGACCTTAATAATTGAATCAATCTTTCTACGACTTGCTTATAAGTCGAACACTGAGTTTTGTACCAACATTAAACTCCCAAAACACCCCACTTTGTGGCGAGTATATACGGTACTTCTCTATTTGCTAAAAGGGATCTAATTCTTTGTTTTATTTTTATTACTAACAGACTTATTTGCTTAGATACAAGTACATGCATTGGTCATGTTAAACTTTGTTAGTAAACTTATTTATTCGGAGGATAGCATATCCTAAATAACACTTGGGTTTTTCATGTACTATAATAAAAACTTACAATGGTTGTAAAAACTTTGGAACTTTGATTTACTATAGAGAAGCCTTTTGGGAAATTTGATTTACTAAAGAGAAACCTTTGGAACTCTGATTAACTATATTTAAAACTTTGGAACTTTGATGCAATTATGTTTTTGATTTTCTTTCTACATTTTATAATAATTATTACAAATTTAAGATTTATAAAAGATTTTAAAAAACAACAAAGACTCATCATGATGAGCAATATTTTTTTTTTTAAACTATTAAAAATTTTAAATTTTTGAAGATGTAAATTTAGTTTCATATATCAAGGGAAAAAATATTTCTTTCAACAAGAGGCCCATGGGCCACATCGCTCACCTGAGTACCAAGGATAGGACTAGTATGAAATGACTTTTTATTGTAAAGTTTTAATCCAAAAGTAGTCCCATGACCAATCATGGATTTGCTATTTTTTTGAAAATGATTGAGAAGAAGATTTTTTAAAAAATTTTCCTATATATTTTATGGTTTTTAATTTCCAATTTTTGGGCCCCCCCCTACCCCCAGGGATCATGATTTAAAAAAAACTTGAATCTACACTACCTGAACATGCTTCCATATAAATATGATGAATAATGGCTTTGTCATTCTTTAGAAGAAGATTTTTAAAGAATTTTCCTATATATCTCTATGTAAAACTTTGGTCGGCCATTTTGGCCCCGCCCTACCCCCCGGGGGCATGATTTGAAAAAAACTTGAATCTACACCACCCAGCATTTTTCCCCAAAAAAATATGATGAATTATGGCTTTGTCATTCTTGAGAAGAAGATTTTTAAAGAATTTTTTAATATATTTCTATGAAAAACTTTGGTTGGCCATTTTGGCCCCACTCTACCCCCGGGGGTCATGATTTGAAAAAAATTGAATTAAAACTACCTGAGCATGCTTCAATATAAATATGATGAATTATGGCTTTGTCATTCTTGAGAAGAAGATTTTTAAAGAATTTTCCTATATATTTCTATGTAAAACTTTGGTGGGGATTTTTTGGGCCCCCCCTACCCCCAGGGGTCATGATTTGAACAAATTTGAATCTACACTCCTTTAGCATGTTTTAAAATTAAAAATTTATGATTTATGGCTTTGTCATTCCTGAGAAAAAGATTTTTAAAGAATTTTCCTATATATTTCTATGTAAAACTTTGGTCGGCCATTTTGGCCCCGCCCTACCCCCGGGGGTCATGATTTGAACAAACTTGAATCTACACTACCTGAGCATGCTTCAATATATATAAATAAATTTTTGCTTTGTCATCTTGGGGGTTTTTAAAGAATTTTTCTATATATTTCTATGTAAAACTTTGGTCGGCCATTTTGGCCCCGCCCTACCTCTGGGGTTTTTCCAAAAAAACTTGAATCTACATTACCTGAGCATGCTTCCATATAAATATATGAATTATGGCTTTATCATTCCTTAGAAGAAGATTTTTACAGAATTTTCCTATATATTTCTATGTAAAACTTTGGTTGGCCATTTTGGCCCTGCCCTACCTTCGGGGGTCATCATTTGAACAAACTTGAACTACACTACCCGAGGATGCTTCCATAAAAGTAAGATCAATTATGGCTTTTCAACTTTAGAAGAAGATTTTTAAAGAGTTTTCCTATATATTTCTATATAAAACTTTGGTCGGCCATTTGTGGCCCCGCCCTACTCCCAGGGTTATGATTTGAACAAACTTGAATCTACACTACCTGAGGATGTTTCTCCATAAGTTTCATCTTTCCTGGCACAGTGGTTCTTGAGAAGAAGATTTTTAAAATATACCATTAAATTTTCATTAATTCCCAATTATCTCCCCCTTTAATAAGGGCGTGGCCCTTTATTTTAAAAATTAACCCCTTCACCCAAGGATACTTTTTGGTTTGGTTGAAATTGGCCCAGTGGTTCTTGAGAAGAAGTCGAAAATGTGAAAAGTTTAAACAGACAACGGGCAACAGACGGGGCAGACGGACGCTGGACAAAATATGATCAGAAAAGCTCACTTAGCCTTGGCTCAGGTGAGCTAAAAAATTTTTTTCGTCATTTTTGAATTAAAAAAAATGCCTCATCAACTTTAATCCACATGGATTTTTTTATCTTATAAAAAATAAATACATGTATTTCCCTTTTGATAAGCTACGTTTAGAAAATATATTTAAATAAAGATTTACAACAAAAACCAGCCACAAACAATATAACATCGACCCCTTAGAACAGCTAAATAATAATTAAAAAAAAGATAAAAGTACATGTGAGACTGATTCAAAAAATCTTTGAAACGTTGATAAAGTTTTAAAATCTTTGAGAATGTGATTTACAGTAGTTATTTAAAAAAAATTGAAAAAATTTTTTTAAATATAGTTAACAATTCAACCTTTGATTAACTATAGTAAAAACTTCGGAACTTTAATTTACTATGGCTAACTATAATAAACTATAGTTTACTATAATCATAGTTCATTATTGTATTTTTTGTTAGGGACTAAAGGATTTTGCAAGTCCTGCTAAAAGAATCCTGCTAAAAAAAAACTATAAAAAAGGAAATGATAAAATGTGTGGTATCTGTATTCTTACTTCTCTTTCTCCCGCTTTGTGTCAATGAATTTTGCTTCATAATATTATCACCGTCATCAGCTTGTATGACAAATTCCTCACTATCCGCTGGATCTCCATTGACGACCGCTCTTTGTATCTCTATAGTTCCTGAAATAGAATGTTTTTATCCATTTTATCTCGAAAAGAACTTCATTTTTTCCAATCACATTTTAGATAAATATGAAGTACTTTACTTAAGCCATATGATGATTTAATAACAAGAACAAAATATACTTTTGTATTTTATTTACAAGTCTTCCTACACAAATATCCTCAGTAGAAAAAAAAAAATTTTACTCAACGCTTCAATTTTGAAGTTGTACAAAAAGAGGCAAATTTTTTAAAAAAATATGACATTGTTTAGGTGAATACCTTCGTCTGTTGCCAGCAGTGAACGTTCACTTTCAGGAACACCAAAATTATCATTTTCATCATCTTCAGCAGTGCCCACAATGTCTCCAGGTTCTTGTGTATCATTAACTCTCGATCCTAGTTAATAAGTGGCATGTTATTTAGTGGAAAGTTAGTAAAACATTTTTTTACTTAAGATAAAGGTACGGGGTGGGCTTTAATTGGACTTTTTTAGAATTCACTCGCATGGTAAGTGTCGTACAGTAACCCCACCAAAATACCCTATAATAAGTTCCTGAACCAAGCACCAAAGTATTTCCCCAAATTTTAAAACAGACACCCCTGCTTATCATAACCATGCACATGGTATAACAATAGCAAGAGAAGATTTTTAAAGTTATAATGAAAATCTAATATATATGTATTCAAAAAAGTAATCCATCATCCAGGGTTATGATTATTTTAATTTTCCTTGCTATTACTTTGCAATAAGGTTTTTTACTGAGTCTTAAAGTGTGAGCTAGAATCCTCACTCACAGAAACCCGATGGAGGGATGGAATCCGTGTACCAGGGAGGCGGTTTTTAACTAAGGGGTTTTGCTTCAAACTATTTATTTATATCTCACGGCTTTTTACTGAGCATGCTCAATCATAACTTCCTTTATTTGAATATTAAATTGGAACATGGTATGCCTGAAGGGGTCTTTTTTATCTTTTTTAAAGGATATTAAACTAAAGAAAGTCAGTTGGAATTTATTTTTTCAAAATTTTGGGAAAAATTTTTCACTTTGAACAAAATGTAGTAAGTGTAATATAGAATAAATAAGTCAAATTTTCAATTTTCATGATCTTTTTTGTTTTTAAAGGGCAATGAACATGATGAAATAGTCTTTGTTTATTTGAATGACTTTAGTGGGACTTTCATTCCCTATATATTTTTTATCACATTCACTGCTAGCGAAAGTTTTGTCTAAACTAAATTCTCAGATGGTGTAAACTTTTGTAGATTAAAATTTTATTGAATTGTAAATTATATTAAAAAAGCTTAATTAAAAACTAGCTTGGATTGTAACTAATAAAAATTTAAACTTTAACAGCAGTAAATAGGGAAAAATTCATATAAGATTTTAAACTTTTAGTAAAGAATGTAAAGCATTGTGTAGTTAGTTTGGTTTCAGTCACCATTTTGGCATCCACAGTTACATCAGTAGATTCTCCAAGTGCCATGACCTAGATCTAGACAAATGCACAGATCCCGTGACTCCTTATTTGGTATGTCACACGGCTTTTTTGACACGGATTTCCAAAACTCCGTGTCTTCATATATGGAAAAGGACATTGGTTTCAGACACGGGTTTACAGAATCCGTGTCTCCATATATGGAAATGGACAGGGGTTTCAAAGGGTTTAAAAAATCCTAAATCCAAAATGGAAACCAGCATGGCTTTTGACACAGTTTTGTAAAACCGTGTAATCTAATTTAAATAATTCGGCCAATATTCCCTTTCCTGTCCGTGTCCGTGCCTCGACTACTTTTAGGCATGGCTTTCCAAAACAATTTAAATGACAGAAATGCTATAAGCACGGGTTTCTGAAAAAACGGAATTTGGGGCTCCCCAAATGTTTCATATGGGATAGTGGAAATGCATTTTTTTCTTTGTTATTCTGATCTATTCCAGGGTATTAAGTAAACAGGCAAGTATGCTAAGAGTATAGTTATGATAAGCAATGGCGCTTCTTTTTTAAAATTGTGAATTTAATGGCCTCTGGTTTAATAAACAAACCAAATTCAATACTTGGAAACTTGTTTCATGATACTCAGGTGGCCTAAACCCCCGGGCCACTTGTTTTTTTACTGGGGGGAAAACAAGCTTTTTAAAGAATGAATGCAAATATTCCCCCTTTTAAAATTCAAAATTTTAGAATATACCCAGAACTATTATAATTGACATGGGCGGCCTCATGAAATTCAAACTATCAGACTTTTTTTTTAATTTATGTTTATAATTTTATGTCACAATGTAATGTTAATACAAAGAATCACATTTGTTGGGTATGCCTGGGACAAAGATGGCAGTTCCATGGACGACAGTTTGAAACGAAGGAAAATTTATGTATAATGGACTTCGCCTGTTATGCACATTATCCCACGTTTCGAACTATCGTTGATGCCCTAGCATCTCAACAAATTAAAATGTGATTCCATAACTAATGGGTGAAGCTCTGAACATGCTGAATACTGCACACTAAAGAGCTTTATTGATGGGGTTTGAATGATCTACCTATGATCTACCTATGCTGATCTTTTCAGCAAATAATCAAAATTTATCTTGAGTCAAATGCTGGGTGACGTTTTTCTTACTAATTGTTAGTCCATTATATATACACTAAATTGACTATGGATTTTTTCTATTATTTCCCTGATATTGACTAGGAGCACACGGTGGAAAGGACCGGGGTTTGGGAAAGGGGGTGCTCACTCCTCCATGTCACATGATCTCACCTCTGATGTTTCGGAGGCCAGTGTTTGATCTGCAGCTCCTATTTTGTATTGTTTTAAAGGGATTGATATTAAATACTATTCGTTATCTCCATATATCCTTCACCCTTACAAGTTAAAGGGGCGAATGGGGTTTTATTGTGTAAAAACTAAAATGGAGAAACTCTTTAATTTTATTTTTTAAATTTAAAATTGACTTCAGTGTACATGACAAGTATTGGGAAAATTTATCGCCCATGTATTTTAAGGGACCGTCTCAAATGACAGGTACATTTACTATTTGAATTATATGGGAAAGTGCAAATCTTACGCACTTTACAAATACTACAAGACTTTTTGCTTAAACTATGATACATAATGATCAATACAATACTGCACAAAATTTTAAAAACCCCAAAATTCTACCACCTTGTTTACAGAGGGGACATCAATGTACCTATTAATTATAAAAATTGTTATAAAAATCGTAAAATCTTGAGTTTGTTTTGTTTGTTTTGTTTCAGTGAAGAAAAAATTTGCTTTAAAACAGTAAATACGCTACATTGTACTATGATGCGCGAAATATTACGCAATGGAAACCCCAGTCGACCCTCTTTAAATTTAAAATTTAAAAAAAACTGCTCATTACAGTTAATTCCGCAATTTTTTAACAGTAAATGAATTCATTTTTTCTAATTATTATACGCCCTGATCAATACAGTGTGATCCTGGGCGTATATTTTTTTTGCATTGTCTGTTTTTCTGCTGTCAACTTTACCCTTCATCAGACCTTTTAATTTGAAACATAGGAGATAGACTGACAGACGGGTCAAAAAAATTATACCTCCCGCAACTAGTTGCGTTGGGTATAAAAATATTGTTTTTGAAGTTTTCCTGCGCAGGTTAGAGAGATACCCTATGTTAATTAACAAAATACTAAGTAGTTTTAGGTTTTAGGGTTTCCTTAAATCATTTTTAAAATATAAAGCATTATTTACTTGAATCTATTACATTTAAGTACCTTGTCTGATGTCCATTGTTGGTAACGGTTCCAATAAAATTGATTTTCGTCTTCTGAAAAAGGAGTTCCAATTCAATGTTTTTAGGTCACCTGAGTAAACTCAGGTGACCTTTGCTATCCGTTTTTGTCCGTCGTCGTCCGTTGGGGTGTTGTGTGTCGTGTGTTAACATTTGAACATTTTCAGCTTCTTCTCTGCAACCACGAACCAATTTCAACCAAATTTGGCACAAAGCATCTATGGGTGAAGGGGGAAAAAAAATTGTGAATTTCATGATCCCTGTTAACAGATGTTAACATTTTCTTAAAAGTTTTTTTGCGAGCTAACTACAATAATTCTCTGATTTATTTAAATTAAGTATTTATAAGCAGGCCTATTTTTAGGTCACCTTAGTAAACTCAGTTGACCTATTTACTATCTGTTTTTGTCTGTCGTGTGTTGACATTTGAACATTTTCAGCTTCTTCCTTGCAACCGCTCAACCAATTTCAACCAATTTTGGTACAAAGCATCTACGGGTGAAGGGGAACAAAAATTTTTAAATTTTATGATATCCCCCCCTTTTTTTCCAGGACATCAAGCAGTCAAACTGTTGGCAAAAAATTGAAATGAGCACTGAGTCATCTACCATAATTATGAAATTCATGGCCCCAAGGTCAGGGGTTTTAGTACTAGGGTTGGTCCATATAGCTCTTTTGGGAAATTTAAACAACCATTTATGATGAAATAAAACTTAAGATAACATTTAGAAAATTTTGAAAAAAGTGTGGCCCCAGGGTTAGTGGTTCCTGTGGGGTGGGGTACACAACTGGTGGTTTACAAATGGAATAGCATTTTATCTTTTTTTCTCTGATCCACCTTTGGTTTGAATTAACCAAATAAGCATGTTTAAGTTATAATTATGATAAACAACGGTGCATCTTTCAAAATTTGGAATTTCATGGCTTTTTGTTTAAAACACGAACCAAATTAAATTGAGTGAAAGTTGTTAATATATGATACCTATAAGGTCTATGGGCCTCTAGTTGTTATTCAAATAAAAAAAAAAATTTTGATGAACAAGTAGAATGAAAGAAAATTCCTTAATTTATTCTGAAAATCAGGAACAAATCTATACATACATATTCAAGTACATTTAACATGTTTAAATAAATTCAAGTTTGTTTATTTCATTATCCCTAGTGAAGTGTTTAAAAGAGGCATTTTAATAAACTAATGATATTTTACACTTGATAAATTTTTTGATTTCTTTTTAAATCATTCTGATAAAAAAATGCTTAAAATGTGAAATTAATCAAACAAAAGCTTGTAATAGAACAGCATTAGGGACTTTGTCCATCCAATTAATATTAAATGTTAGATACTGCCTAAAAACTAACAACATCCTGTAGAGTGTGACATCAGAGGTCAATTTTTTTATTAACCAATCAAATAGTCGACTGCAAAATTATTGTATTTCATAAATTGGAACAAATAAGTCTAGAGTTGTTCCGTATTTGACATCTGACGTGACCTTCTATGGGATGTTGTTAGATGTTGTGAAACAGTATGCGAGAGGATCTAAAATGTTGTTTTATTTAGATTGGGATTTTGTTAAACTATATTTATATATATTTTCAATAGGTTGAAGTAACTGATGAGCAGATCAATCCAACTTGAACATGATATCATTTCTCCAATGATGAAAACAAGTCTCTCTTTCTCAAGCATTGATATTTTTAAAGTCAACTGAAACTGGAACAGGTCATACATGCAGACTACAGTGATGTGTGGCACAGTTAAAAAATGCAGCCACCCACATTTAAACAGGATAAGTGTAAGTGGGTCATCAAAAAATGAGAACCACTCAAGGACTTTTCTGTTGGTTGATGATGGACTACAAACTGAATTTTTAACAAAGGAATCCACCTTGGTGCTTATTGGCTACTTATGATGTGAACTTGTGCATTTATTATACCAAGTAATTTTACATTTCCTTAATAATACTAGACTTGCATAAACCGAATTCAGGTTTAGTTTATTGATTGCAGTAATGCAGTTCTAAATTCCTCTCGCAAGATTATATCTCTGATGTATGAGACATCATTAAATGCAGACATTTTCTCGTCCTCCTGTGGAAATTGAGGGGTCGGACTTAGCTGTAAAAATGTTTATGATGCAAGAAAAAATGTTCAACCGATGTATGTAAATGTTGATAATAACATTAAAAAATTCTTTGATAACTAGTGTTAGTGTGTTGTTTTTTCCAATATGAGAATTCAGGGGGAAAATGACTTGGTTGAAAACCAGGGCTAAAATTGTGTAGTCAATACTACAGTTTCCGTTGGGGAAACCTTTGTATACCATATGTATATCAATATTGTAAACGCATACTGAAACCTTGCGTATACCTCAAGTTTCAGCAAGTTTCTGTTGCGGAAAATTGGTAAACCATATGTATTTCAACTGTATACGCATACTGAAACCTTGCGTATACCTCAAGTTTAGTTGCGGAAACCATTGGTAAACCATATGTATTTCAAATATACGCATACTGAAACCTTGGATACCTCAAGTTTCAGCAAGTTTCAGATGCGGAAACTATTTGGATTCGTGGACACCTTTGGTTTCCGCACTGCGGATACTTGATGAAACTTGGTTTTCCCCCATGAAACTTTGCAGAAACTATTAGTAACCTTAAGTTTCCGCAGAGTTTCAGTAGAGTTTCAGCCATCGGAAACTGTATTTTTTATCCAGTGCTTAATTAAAAACTAGCTTGGATTGTAACTAATAAAGTTAAACTTTAAAAATAAATAGAAACATTCATATAAGATTTTAAATTTTTTGTAAAGAATGTAAAGCATTGTGTAGTTAGTTTGGTTTCAGTCACCATTTTGGCATCCACAGGTTTCTCAGTAGATTTTCCAAGTGCCATGACCTAGATCTAGACAAATGCACAGATCCCCTGACTCCTTATTTGGTATGTCACACGGCTTTTTTGACACGGATTTCCAAAACTCCGTGTCTTCATAAATGGAAAAGGACATTGGTTTCAGACACGGGTTTACGAATCCGTGTCTCCATATATGGAAATGGACAGGGGTTTCAAACAGGGTTTACAGAATCCGTAGTCCATATATGGAAACCAGCATGGCTTTCTGACACAGTTTTGTAAAACCGTGTAATCTAATTTAAATAATTCGGCCAATATCCCGTGCCGTGTCCGTGTCCGTGCCTCGACTACTTTTAGGCATGGCTTTCCATCATTTTTAGATATGAGCAGAAATGCTATAAGCACGGGTTTTAAAAAAACAATTTTCCCTGAGCCTTTAAAGCTCCCATGTTTCATATGGGATAGTGGAAATGCATTTTTTTTTTGTTATTCTGATCTTTCCGGGTATTAATAAAAGGCAAGTATGCTAAGAGTATAGTTATGATAAGCAATGGCGCTTCTTTTAAAATTGTAATTTTAAATGGCCTCTGGTTTAATAAACAAACCAAATTCAATATTGGAAACTTGTTACATGATACTCAGGTGGCCTATAAGGCCCGGGGGCCATTTTTTTTTACTGGGGAGAAAACAAGCTTTTTAAAGAATGAATGCAAATCTTTCCCCCCTTTAATATTCAAAATTTTAGAATATACCCGAGAACTATTATAATTGACATGGGCGGCCTCATGTAATTACAATCTATCAGACTTTTTTTTAATTTATGTTTATAATTTTATGTCACAATGTAATGTTAATACAAAGAATCACATTTGTTGGGTATGCCTGGGACAAAGATGGCAGTTCCATGGACGACAGTTTGAAACGAAGGAAAATTTATGTATAATGGACTTCGCCTGTTATGCACATTATCCCACGTTTCGAACTATCGTTGATGCCCTAGCATACTCAACAAATTAAAATGTGATTCCATAACTGCATAATAATTTGAACATGCTGAATACTGCACACTAAAGAGCTTTATTGATTTAAATATCTACCTATGATCTACCTATGCTGATCTTGTAGCAAATAATAAAAATTTTACCCAGTCAAATGCTGGGTGACTTTTTTCTTACTAATTGTTAGTCCATTATATATACACTAAATTGACTATGGATTTTTTCTATTATTTCCCTGATTTGACTAAGCACACGGTAACCTTGGAAGGGGCTGCTACTCCTCCATGTCACATATCCCACCTCTGATGTTCAGAGGTCAGTGTTTGATCTGTCCTATTTTGATTTTTTTATGGGTTTATTTTAAATACTATTCGTTATCTCCATAATATCCTTCACCCTTACAAGTTAAAGGGGCGACTGGGGTTTTATTGTGTAAAAACTAAAATGGAGAAACTCTTTAATTTTATATATTATATAACTAACATTGACTTCAGTGTACATGACAAGTAGGGGAAAATTTATCGCCCATGTATTTTAAGGGACCGTCTCAAATGACAGGTACATTTACTATTTAATTTATGGGAAAGTGCAAATCTTACGCACTTTACAAATACTACAAGACTTTTTTCTTAAACTATGATACATAATGATCAATACAAATACAAAATATAAGAACCACAAAATTCTACCACCTTGTTTACAGAGGGGACATCAATGTACCTATTAATTATAAAAATTGTTATAAAAATCGTAAAATCTTGAGTTTGTTTAGTTTGTTTTGTTTCAGTGAAGAAAAAATTTGCTTTAAAACAGTAAATAGTACATTGTACTATGATGCGCGAAATATTACGCAATGGAAACCCCAGTACCCTTTAATTAAATTAAACAAAACTGCTCATTACAGTTAATTCCGCAATTTTTTTAACAGTAAATGAATTCATTTTTTCTAATTATTATACGCCCTGATCAATACAGTGTGATCCTGGGCGTATATTTTTTTTGCATTGTCTGTTTTTTGCTGTCAACTTTACCCTTCATCAGACCTTTTAATTTGAAACATAGGAGATAGACTGACAGACGGGTCAAAAACATTATACCTCCCGCAACTAGTTGCGTTGGGTATAAAAATATTGTTTTTGAAGTTTTCCTGCGCAGGTTAGAGAGATACCCTATGTTAATTAACAAAATACTAAGTAGTTTTAGGTTTTGGGGTTTTCCCTTTAAATCATTTTTAAAATATAAAGCATTATTTACTTGAATCTATTACATTTAAGTACCTTGTCTGATGTCCATTGTTGGTAACGGTTCCAATAAGACTTGATTTTCGTCTTCTGAAAAAGGAGTTCCAATTAAATTTTTTTTTAGGTCCCTGGTAAACTAGGTGACCTATTGTATGGTGCGTCGTCCGTCGTGTGTTGTGTGTCGTGTGTTAACATTTGAACATTTTCAGCTTCTTCTCTGCAACCACTGAACCAATTTCAACCAAATTTGGCACAAAGCATCTATGGGTAAAGGGGGAAAAAAATTGTGAATTTCATGATCCCTGCCCCCCTGGGGCCTGAGGGGGGGGGGAAAAACCATAAAATTAATGCAATCTTTAAAAATTTTTTCTTTACTCCTGGGCATCAAGCAGTCAAACTATTTGCATGATTGTAATCAGCATTGAGTCCTCTACCAAAATTGTGAAATTCATGGCCCTGGGGTCAGGGGTTCTAGTGCTAGGGCGGGGCTAAATAAGTATATAGTGAAAATGCATTATTTCTTTGAAAATCTTCTTCTCTGCTCCTGGGTATTAAATAAACCAACTAAGTACATAGTTATGATGAGCAAGAGTGCCTCTACCAAATTTGTGAAAATTATGGCCCTAGGGGCAGGGGTTCTGGTGTTAGGGTGGGGCTCTATTGATTTTAGTAAAAATACATGATTTCTTTGAAAATCTTCTTTTCTGCCCCTGGGTATTAAATAAACCAAGTAAGTAAATAGTTATGATGAGCAAGAGTGCCTCTACCAAATTTGTGAATTTTATGGCCCCAGGGTCACGGGTTCTAGTGTTAGGGGGGGGGACATTGATTATATAGTGGAATTACATGAATTCTTTGAAAATCTTCTTCTCTGCTCCTAGGTATTAAATAAACTAACTAAGTGCATAGTTATGATGAGCAAGAGTCCTCTACCAAAATTGTGAATTTTATGGCCCCAGGGTCAAGGGTTCTGGTGTTGGGGGGGGGGGGCTCTTTTTTTATTGTGAAATTACATGAATTCTTTGAAAATCTTCTTCTCTGCTCCTAGGTATTAAATAAACTAACTAAGTGCATAGTTATGATGAGCAAGAGTGCCTCTACAAAAATTGTAATTTTTTGGCCCCAGCTTTTTTAATGGTTCTGGTGGGGGGGGGGGGGGCTTTTTTTTTATAAAGTGAAAATACATGAATTCTTTGAAAATCTTCTTCTCTGCTCCTAGGTATCAAATAAACTAACTAAGTACATAGTGATGATAAGCAAGTGTTCCTCAACTAAGATTGTGAATTTTATGGCCCCAGGGTCAAGGATTCTGGGGGGGGGGTCATTGATTATATAGTGAAAATATGTGAATTCCTTGGGAAAACTTCTTCTCCCTCCTAGGTATTAAATAAACTAACTTAGTGCATAGTAATGATGAGCAAGTGTGCCTCATCCAAAATTGTGAATTTCATGGCCCTATCATCAAGGGTTCTGGTGTTGGGGGGGGGGCTCTATTGATTTAAAAGGAAATTACATGAATTCTTTGAAAATTTTTTCTCTGCTCCTAAATAAACCAATTAAGTGCAAAGTTATGATGAGCAAAAGTCCTTACCAAAATTGTGAATTATATGGCCCCAGGGTCGGGGTTCTGGTGTAAGGGTGGGGCTCTTTGAAATTTTCTTCTCTGTCTCTTGGTTGAAAAACAGATGAACTACCTTTTAGGGTGGGGGGGTCTACTTATATACTGGAAATGAATTAATTGTTTGAAATCTGGTCCTTTGTATTTATAAAACATTTATACTTTTTGATAGGCAATTTTAAGGGTGCCTTTTAAAAATTTGTAACCTACAAGTGTTAGTGGCACTACTGATTATTGATGAATATTACTGATTAGTTGGAGTGAATTTTGTCCCCTACCCTGCATATGGGTATTCAGTAACCAAGCTAAGCGACTGCTAAGTTTATTGTTATGATGATCAATGGTGCTCTTTCAAAATTGTGAATGCCATATAGCATCTGGCTTAAAACATGTTATTGAATCAAATTCAATACACTGTAACTGGAAAGTTTTTCATAATGATCAGGTGACCAAAAGGGCCCCGGGGCCTTTTGTATAATTATTCACATTCCAAATTTTCAAAATTTTCTTAAATCAAATTTTCTAATCATTCTTCCTCATTTGGTTTCAACAAGATTTCACAATTACCTTCCAAAAAAGTTTCATGTTTTATGAAAGTTATAAAATTAAATATTCTTTGAAAGTAAAATGAATAATGTAAGAAAGAAAAAAAATCTTTATTCATGAGTGAAAAAAAGTATTCAGTTATCTTTTTTATAAATGCTATTATTTTCTTTTTATCTTTAATTAAAAAAATTTAAGAATCTTACATTCACACGAAAATTCAAAAAAGATAGTATGCACAAACTGCAGTACCTATAACTTCAGCTTTTCCTTTTTCTTGTCTCAGTTTTTTCCTTCGTAAAACTAAAAATACAGTCAAAGGTAGAAGAATAGCGACTAACACAACTACCAGAATTCCCACGATTGCCCCAATTAATGCTAGTTATTATTGCCAATGTGGTTGTTTGAATAATTGTTTCTGTTATATTATATATGCCATGGTCTGTGGGGAAAACCATGGGGCACCAATTCCTCTGTTTTGTCTTTGGTAGTTGTATCCCATGTGCTAAACATAAAATAAATATATATGTATGAATATAGTAACAAGACTAGGACATTTTGCTGATTTTAATGATGAATATTTATCACTTACTATTTTCCACAGATCGGATAGCAAGATAACATTGATACTCTGTATAATTCTTAAACAGGCGGGATCTAAATTAGAAGAATATTGAGAACATGTATGTAAATACATATTTATAGTAATATTAGTAGGTTTTTTTAAGGATGGTATGACATTATTCTTCATATATAAAGTTATCCTTACATCTGTACATTTCGTTGATGTGGACTTCTGTATCTGGACAGCCCATCAGGAAATTACATTTTTTTGACAGTTGATCGCCAGTGGTTTCCAAACAATAACCTAAATTATACTGAATTGTTAATTACTTGGTATATTGCGCAATCAATTAGATGTATATCTTTTTTACTTTGTGTAATTTGGATGATGTAACATTTACATGTCTCTTGTGTAACTGATTTAATTAATCTATAGGCAAGAAAAAGGTTCCTTTAATATATTATATTTAGTTTCGTCACTCTTGATAACCATTCTAAACTCACGCTCATGGCAGAGAACTTTTCGGCAAATGCATTTCTATAAATTTCATCAAATTCATTTTAAATAGTATTTTGTTTTTTTGACACTAATCTTACAGTTCGACCCACTTTTAAAAACTTCAATATTCACCATAACGTTTAAAAAAATAAGCACATGTACTATGGTTGTTATTTTACTTGTGCATTCCTTATCACATGATCTTTGTTTGGATACCAAGGATTTTGACCTTGGAGTTTGACTTGCATGTGGGAAAGTTCAATACTTGCCTAAGCTGTCATACATAGGTAATTTAGCCATTTATATCCACATATGCATCGTCTTTCATATGAAGATCATATGTGGATATATGAGAATCATATGTATATATAATATATAGAATCATATGTGGCCAATATATGAGAATCATATGATATACATATGTGAATCATATGAAGTAATATACATATGTTTTATATGAAAGTCCTGTTTGGAATCATATGAATATTCACAATAATCATATAAAATCATAGAAACTGAACATGTAAACATTAAAATAATGTTCACTAATTTGTCCTTGTTATACTGGGGAAAAATCAATTTTTACTTGCTCATATGAGAATCATATGAAACGGTATAATGAGAATCATATGAAACAGTGTTCACTTATCTTTCCTTTTTAAACTGAAGTAAAATTGCAATTTCACTTATATATATCAAAAGCTGAATTTAAATGTACATTAATTCAAAAGAAATTGTTAATAATTATATGTAAATTTCTACTCTGTTTCCCCCCCCCCCCCCCTTTCCTTCTAAAAAAAACCTTTCACAATTTTTTTCTGTTATAATGCATTTCCCAGACAAAATAGATAAAGAAAAAATTAATTTGTAGGGCTGTCACGGTTCCAAAATTTTTGGGTGGGTGGTTTGATTTTTTTAGGTTTGGTTTGGGTATTTGGTTCGGGAATTTAATGGAAAAAAAGCTAATGATTTGTATTATTTTCAACAACAAAAAGAATATTTTCATTTAATCTTCGAAATAGCAACATTTAAACTAGTTTAAAGTAGCTTCCTGACTAGACAACAATTATCCCTATTATTTAAATCACCTTATAATTGCAATGTATTAAGAAATCTCTCGTTTTTTTACGCCATTTTTATAGAAAAACCCTACACTCTATCAAATTAACCAACCGAATTCCAGAAAAACAAACCGAAACCGAACCGAATGAATTGTTGCGGTTCCGGGTATTTCGGGTACCCGTGACAGCCCTATTAATTTGCTTTTCATTTTAAATCTTTTGGGTTTGGCTAAGTAAAATTTTGATAGTTTAAGTTTTAATTAAATGTATTCTTAGAAAATATCTACTGTGTGAGACTGTTAGTATTTGTCTTACAGGGAATATACAGTCAGCCTCTTGTAAGATAAAGAACAAATCCCAAATAAGGCTTCTTAAAGTTAAGGTAACTACACACTGTTAAATAAACTTTGTTATAGTCTTCCCAAAAGTTTGGGATATCTTTGATTCACAATGTCTGTTTTTGCCGTCACTTGTTGTGTATTTTTTGTCCAAAAATAATATACATGTATCTGTATCAGAATCTTCTTAATTTTTTTGACAATCTGAATTAATATATACTGTTTGAACATTCCAAATTTAATTGTCAAAATAACAAAAAAAAAAAGTTTTTTTTTTGATTTTATTATGAAGCATATCTTTCAATAGTGTAATTGTTTTGCAAATTACATCATAGGATTCCTCAAAACACCTAGTATAACATATATAACATTATTTTTATCTTGTATCATATCTGTGTCAGTGAATTGGTACATTTGTTTGCTGATAATACCTAAGTAACTTTTATAACTCATAGAATTTAAGAATTATTTTATTTTTACTTTTGAAATTTTTTTAAAACCATTCTGTGCCACAAAGAAATTGTTAGGAAAAGGAGAAGTGGTGGATATTCATTTTTGGGCGGTCAGTTCCCAAAAAGATTTTAAAAAGGTCATGGAAGATCAAAAGGGGGGACAACTGAAAAAACTGAAAGATACAGAAGGAAAAAGAGCAAGGAAATATATATGGAATAATTATGAAAAGGGGAGGATGTACACAATCTTTTAATTTTACCTGTGAAGATTTCCCCTAATGTATGCTGGAATAATCCATAACTTGATTTTTCATAAATTTACAATAGAGAATACATGACAAATGTTATTGCTGATATTTCAATGTTGCTTTGGAACTTTCATGTCATATGGTATTTTTATACATTACCTAATTATGTTATTCATTTGTACATGTACAGTATACATTTTAATACAAATCATTTTGCTGAAATCTTATAATTTGTACTCATGTTAGAATATGTTTAAAACATTATCGACAAATGCTACTGACTTGTTTGTATATTTTCTTTTAAGAATGTACACTGTGAAAAATAAGTTATTTCTCTTGATGAAAAAAATTTTTTCAAAAAAGTTGTGTAAGCATTTTAAGATATTTTTAAAAATTTAACCAATGAAGATTGATCATTGTAATGTAATAATTTTTTTAAAGCAGAAATATTATTTTTAAATTTTAAAGAATGTGAAAAATATTTTAAAAAGAACACACAAGTGTTTCATATATTTAATTAAAGATTTTCATATATTCTCATATGTAAATGGCTTGAAACACACATAGTGTTTCATATGATTTACATATGATGCCATTTTCATATGATTCTCATATGTAAATGGCTTGAAACACACTGAAGTATTCATATGAAAATCATATGTAGTTATTTTCATATGATTCACATATGTGGATTATATGTAAATAATGATTTGCTTCATATGATTCACATATGATGCCCTTTTTCTATGATTCTCATATGAAACCAATCATATGGAAACATATGTGGCTAAGTTGCCTGTGTATTGGGGAAGTTTCAAAAACGCAATTTATTAAATAACAAAAATATAAATTTGATGACTCACCTCTTTCCAATAACCACATGACTCCATCGTGACAGAATTCTACCAGACCCGTCTTTTCTGAGTTCGGGAGACATAAGTACTGTTTGTTACCATACTTGTCTTGACCACATCCCAGTCTGGCAGAGGCTATCAATGTTTCCGTCAGGTTCCTTGGACAGGAGTCCACTATTCCAGCCATTACTGTACAGAACTAAGTCACAAGCGAAAAAATACAAAAAGGTCCATCTTTAAGAGAAAGATTTACTTTCAGTTATTTTCACTTAAAATAAAATTGTGATGCGTAATTTGAGTGTAAGGTATAATTATAATTATTTTTTTTATGTTGTAGGTTATCTGTAAAAACTCTGAGAAATAACAGTATCTTTAAGTGGTGGTATCAATAATAATAAATGTGATCGTTTTAATTCAAGCACCTTCAGGTCAAGAAAATATATTTTTCTTTGACATTAAATGTTTTTTTTAAATACTGTTGTCAGTCAGGCGATGCCTTCGTTTACAAAATATAATAGATTTTCTTTAAAATTAAAGATAATATACATTTAAAAAAGGTGGGTCTGACAGTTGATACACAAACAAGGCTATTAAGTTTTTTGTTGTATAAGGGCCCCTTCCAAAATTTACGTCAATGGGGCACCTGTAAGGGCATTAAGCTGTATAATTAGGACCTCCATTTAGGCTTTAGGCTCCATACTTTGGGCACGTGTTAGGGCATTAGACTCCATAGTTAAAGCACGTGTTAGAGGATATAAGGAAACATATTTAAGGCACGTGTGAGGCATTAAGCTCCATAGTTAGGGCACCTGTTAGGGTATAAGGCTCCATAGTTAGGGCACCTGTTAAGGCAAAAGGCTCCATAGCAAGGGCTCCTGTTAGGGCATTAGGATCTATAGTTAGGGCACCTGTTAAAGCATTAGCCTCTATAGTTAAGGCTCCTGTTAGGGCATTAGGCTCCATATATAGTTAGGACGCCTGTCAATGCATTAGGCTCCATAGTAAGGGCACCTGTTAAGGCATCAGGCTCCATAGTTTGGGCTCCTGGTAGGGCATTAGGCTCCATAGTTAGGGCACCTGTTAGGGCATTAGGCTCCATAGTAAGGAAACCTGTTAGGACTTTAAGCTCCATAGTTAGAAAACCTGTTAGGACATTAGGCTCCACAGCTAAGGCATTACGTTTCATAGTGAGGGTACCTGTTAGGGCATTAGATTCTATAGTTAAGGCTCCTGTTAGGGTATTGAGTTCCATAGTTAGGGCACTTGTTAATGCATTAGGATCCATAGCAAGAGCACCTGTTAAAGCATTACCCTCTATAGTTAGGGCTCCTGGTAGGGCATTAAGCTCCATATTTAGGGCACATGTCCAGGCATTAGTCTCCATAGTTAGAAAACCTGTCAATGCATTAAGGTCCATATTTAGGACATCAGTTAGGGATAAGGCTCCATAGTTATAAGGCATCTGTTCATGCATTAGGCTCCATAGTTAGGGCTCCTGTAAATGCATTACATAGGCGTCGGACACAAATTGAAACCATTCTAAGGCCAAATTAAAAAATTCTTGTTTCCTGTCATCCAACCTACCCTACATTTTATATTTTTCCTGACCCTATAAGATTTTATTACATTTTCATTTTTTGGGTGACTATTTTTAAAATTTTTAAGTCTACCAACAATATTTACAGAACTAATACATCACAAGTGTACAGGATACCTTTACTTTATAAATCTTCATTACCAAACTTGCTCTGTAAACTGTTAACATATCATTTTCTTGTTATTACATGATATATGTTCTGCATCCATTGAGTTTTCAAAATAAAATTTTTTCTCAAAATAAAATTTTTTCCCTACCTACCTACCCTAATTTTTTTGGTCAGTAGACAGGAAACAAGAGTATATTTTCTTTTGGCCTAATTCAAAAGGGGGAGCTAAACCAACAATAAAAGGTTAATCCCACATTTCAATGCTTTTATAATATCTATCTTTGCAAAAAAGGGGGCTAACCCACCCACCCCCGGTTCCAACACTTTTGCATTAGGCTCCATAGTTATGGCATCTATTAATGCATAAGGTGTCATAGTTATATGGCACCTGTTAGGGTTTTACAGTTATGGCACCTGTTGGGGCATTAGGCTCCATATTAAGGGGACCTGTTAGTACATTAGGCTCTGAGTATTACGTTAGGTGCTTATATATTTTTTACCCCTTTGGAAACTGTTACGCGCCATAATTCAGGTACTAATAATTTTCCAAGATAAGGGCTTTTCCTTAAAAAAAATCTTTATAATGCTACTTTTTCCCTACAACAACATATTTAGCAGTTACTGTTTGAAAATCTTTGGACTACTTCAAATGCATCTTCCGCGTAGCCAATGGGTTTTGATCCTCACTCCCCTGAGTATGCGTATCAGGAACCATTGACTATAGAAAAGATGCATCGAATGAAAAAGAATAATAAACTAGAGCAAAGCTCGTTGCAAAGCAACGAGTAGGTCTTCCGTCCGGTTTTGACCAGAAGTGACGGAACAAAAGAAAGCAATGAGCTCGAAGTATTCAGTGACTTTATAATTTCAATTTTGCATCAAAAACCTTCAGAAAAAGCCATTTTTTTGTCACTTCCGGTTTGACCGAAAGTGACAACGACGGACGAAAAAAACTCGTTTTTATGCTCCCAGAGACATATGTAACCCAAAAACTTGTCAAGAACGGCAAAAAACGCGTTTTTCCGACCACTTCCGGTTTGGCCGGAAGTGACGACGCCGGACGTATTTTGACGACTCAAGTAGATTTAGCTGGACATTTTGAACAACTTTGCTTCTTTGACGTATTACAAATTCTAAATACTTTTTGAGATATAAAGGAAAAACATTCGGCCCCTCTCGGCCCCTAATTTAGGGGGGCAGTCCTTTTTTCGAAGAACCAATTGAAAGATCTTGGAATTCTATACTTTTTTTGCTTACATGTTTTAACAAAATATTTCTATGGGGAAAAAGTTATCGTAGGAAAGGTGTTAAAATTTTGAAATTCTTGGTTGGACTATTTTCGGGCCATAGCGAGCGTCGGCATTTCGTACTTCCGGTGGTTGTGATATACGAAATTCACTTCTCCAAAGGTTGCTCTAGCATCACTGAAAATTTCATGCTTCTCTGTTGGGTGGTTTTTCTGAAAACTGCCGGACAAAGTGACCCTCTGAAAATCACTAAAACGCGGAAATCTCAAAACCGGAAGTGACGTCATCAATACAAAAAAATATATGTCTAGATTTTTTCATGCTCTATCAGTCGTGAAAGTTTCATGAAAATCAAGGGAGCCGTTTTTGAGAACTTGCGTGTACAAAATAGGTAAGAAAAACAAGAGGCCCAAGGGCCACAACGCTCACCTGAGCACCTTTGGTCGTCCATTGTGGCCCCGTCCTGACCGCCCGCAATCATGATTTGAACAAACTTGAATTTACACTACCTGAGGATGCTTCCCTATAAATATGATCAATCATGGCTTGGCTATTCTTGAGAAGAAGATTTTCCTATATATTTCTATGTAAAACTTTGGTCGGCCATTTTGCCCCCCTACCCCCAGGGGTCAGGATTTAAACAAATTTGAATCTACACTACCTGAGAATGCTGAATATAAATATGATCAATTATAGCTTGACTGTTCATGAGAAGAAGATTTTTAAAGAATTTTCCTATATATTCTTATGTAACACTTTGGTCAGCCATTGTGGGCCCGCCCTAGCCCCGGGGGTCATGATTTGAACAAACTTGAATCTACACTACCTGAGGATGTTTCCCCATAAGTTTCATCTTTCCTGGCACAGTGATTCTTAAGAAGTAGATTTTTAAAGCATACCACCAAATTTTCATTAATTCCCAATTATCTCCCCTTGAATGAGGGCGTGGCCATTCATTTGAACAAACTTGACTCCCCTTTACCCAAGGATGATTTGTACCAAGTTTGGTTAAAATTGGCCCAGGGGTTCTTGAGAAGAAGTCGAAAATGTGAAAAATTTACAGACAGACAGCTAGACAGCTAGATGGACGGACAACGGACAAAATGTGATCAGAAAAGCTAACTTGAGCCTTTGGCTCAGGTGAGCTAAAAACAATAATAACTAGAGCAAAGCTCGTTGCAATGCAACGAGTAGGTCTTCCGTCCAGTTTTGCCCAAAAAAAAGAAAAGAAAGCAATGAGCTAGTCTCCAGTGACTTTATAATTTCAATTTAGCATCAAAACCTTTAAAATAAGCCATTTTTTGCTACTTCCGGTTTGACCGGAAGTGACGACGACACACGGAAAAATTACTTTATATGCTCCCAGAGACATATGAAACCCCAAAAAACTTTAAAACAGCAAAAAACGTGTTTTCCGACCACTTCCGGTTTGGCCGGAAGTGACGATGCCGGACGTATTTTGACGACTTCAATAGATTAAGCTTGACATTTTGAACAACTTTGCTTCTTTGCAACAAATACTAAATACTTTTTGAGATATAAAGGAAAAACATTCGGCCCCTCTCGGCCCCTAATTTAAGGGCCAGTTTTTCGAGGTATCATTTGAAAGATTTTGGGAAATTTTATTTTTTTTTTGTTCAAATTTTTTAACAAAATATTTCTAGGTAAAAAGTTATCGTAGAAAAGGTGTTAAAAATTTGAAATTCCTGATAGGACTATTTTCGGACCATAGCGAGCGTCGGCACTTCGTACTTCCGGTGGTTGTGGTATACGAAATTCACTTTTCCAAAGGTTGCTCTAGCATCACTGAAAATTTATGTTTTTGTGTTGAGTGGTTTTTCAGAAAACTGCCGGACAAAGTGACCCTCTGAAAATCACTAAAACGCGGAAATCTCAAAACCGGAAGTAACGTCATCAAAATAAAAAAATATATATATCTAGATTTTTTCATGCTCTATCAGTCCTGAAAGTGTCATAAAAATCGAGCGAGCCGTTTCAGAACTCGCTACACAAAATCAGTAAGAAAAAAAACAATAATAACTAGATGCGTTCTTGTTGCTAAAGCAACAAGCGGTCTTCCGACTGTTCTATGATGCGACATCCCATGAAATAATTTCAGAATGTATTTTATTATTTACATTTATTCACAGCAGTCTCTCCGCATACATCACAATAGTTACAGGTTTTCCCTAAAATATTAAAAATAGCTTTTAAAAAATCGGAAAATATTCCATACGTTTTATAAAAGAGATAAAATCATTTGCAACTGAAAAAAGAAATCAAAAAAAAAAAATTGAAACGCCCACAGCATTGAACCCGACAGTGGGACAAAGTTTTGGGTTGGTCAAACTTTTCAATATATACACGCATCAAGATACTAAACATATAATTAGAATTCTCAAATGACACTCTATAAATCCTGTAAATCCTAAAGAAAAATATTGAAAAACAAAAAAGTTGAGAAATAAGGGTTTTTGAATTCACTTCCGTTTGCGACCGGAAGTACCGCGACGAAAAATAAAGGTAGTTGCCCATAACGGAGTTCGATGTTCTATCATCTCAGTGAGTTTCACTTTCATATCTTGAGCCGTTCTGAGAAAAATCTGGACAAAATGCCTTTTTAAAAATAAAAAATCCCCAAAAATCCAAAAGACAGTGAATTTTAAAAAAACAAAAACCGTTAGAGATATTCTCAAGATGCATCATCCCTGTAAAAATCTTTCAAATCCGTCTACGCACAGCTTAGATATAACCCTAACTATGAAAAAAGAAGAATAATAATTAAAAAACAGACGAATAACAGTAAATTTCCGAAAGGGAAATTAGAAGACCTAATAATAAAAATAGTGGAAAAGGAACCTAAGAATAACAGTAATTTCCGCTAAGACGGAAGACCTTAATAACTGGAGACTTATTGTTCAGAGAACAATAAAGGCTTTTCCCCCTTCTTTAAATTTCAAATTTGTTTTATATCTAACTCCTTAAAACTATATTCCATGAAAAAGAAACAAAAATTGTCTGAAAGCATAGAAAAAAAGAAAAAAATTTCAAAAATTGGAATGACCTTGACCTTTGACCTTGAAAAAATATTCAAGGTCAAAGGTAAGGGAAATGCAATTGACCTTATGCTTCTACGACTTATAGTTTTCAAGTTATAAAGTACAATGTAAGTACAAACAAGAGGCCCAGGGGCCACAGCGCTCACCTGAGCACATCGGGCATAAATTTATTCCCCCCCCTCCAGGCGTTCATCATTTGAACAAATTAGAATCTACACTACCTAGGATGATTCCATATAAAAACATGTATCACTAATCATAGCTTTGAAGAACTTGAAAAGAAGATTTTAAAAGGTTTCCCTATATATTCCTATGTAAAACTTGGGATGGCCATTTTGGACCCACCCTTGCCCCACATGATGGGAACAAACTTGAATCTACACTACCTGAGGATGATTCCACATGAGTTTCATCTTTCCTGGCCCAGTGGTTCTGGAGAAGAAGATTTTTAAAGTTTTTTCCTAAATTCCTATAAAAAACAAGGGTGGTTTTTGGCCCCACCCTTGCCCAGGGGGTCATGATTTGAACAAATTTGAATCTACACTACCTGAGGATGATTCCACATGAGTTTCATCTTTCCTGGCCCTTTGGTTCTGGAGAAGAAGTTTTTTTAAAAATGCCATTAATTTTTAAAAAATTTATGATTATCTCCCCTTGGAAAAGGGCGTGGCCCTTCATTTGAACAAACTTGAATCCCCTTCACCCAAGGATACTTTTTGCCAAGTTTGGTTGAAATCGGCCCAGTGGTTCTTAAAGAAGATGAAAATGTGAAATGTTTAAGACGACAACGATGACAACCACAACGACAGACGACGGACAAATTTTGATCAGAAAAGCTCACTTGAGCCTTGGCTAGGTGAGCTAAAAATAGGGAAAAAGAAACCGAACGAAAACAATAAACGGAAGACCTTAATAATAATAATAAAAATAGTGGAAAAGAAACCTAAGAATAACAGTAAGGTCTTCCGCTGAAAACGGAAGACCTTAATAATTTCAACTTTGTAGGTTCGGACACAATGTTTATATTTTTATCTTATACCATTAAAATATAAATGCCATCTGGAAAAAAAAATCAATTTCTTATTGAGTATATATTGATGTATCCGCATTAATTCGATATTTAGAGAGGAATGATTTAAATATTTCAGTCACAGGCTTTTGTTTGATACAGGGCACTCCCTACTTATTTTTAACAAGGTGGGGGTTCAAACAAATGCCTTGATTTTAAACTTGTACAAATTCTAACATTTATCTACACGTTCTTTGGCCCATATGGAAAATACTATCAAAAATTAAAAAAAAGTAGCATTTTTGGAATATTATTTATAAAATACCTTTTTTCAAATAAAAAATCAAATCTATAGAGTAACTGCATGTTTTACCTCGCGTTATCATCTCTCTAGGAGTCTGAAATCAGGTTGAGGTTCTTTGTTATCCATCCTCTGAAACATTCCTTCTATGGCGTCCCTTGGTGACCTTCACCTAATTATTTAAAGGGTGTTGCTAAAACGCGGAACGGAAAACGGAACGGAAAGCGGAACGGAACGGAAAACGGAAAATTATTTGTCAAAGAAATAACATAAATTCAATATAAATCAGATAAAAGAGCAATATTCTTGTTGTAATAGTCATTTCTAATAAAAATTAATTGTAAACTATTATATATTCATGAGTCATACACACCCTCCGTGGAAAAAATGCTACAGAAAGAACCCCCCCCCCCCCCACACACACACACGAAATAGGATTTTTGTGTTTGGGCAAAGGACATATTCCCCTTTTATTTGCTTGTAAAATTTTGTTGTATGTAGGAATTTTTTTCTTACCCCTCCCCCCTCTTTCAATTTGTTTCCAATTTCAATATGTGAAAAGACAAAAATAACTAGTTATGCTATTCAGATTATGCACGCAGTGTCGAATTCGCGAGTCATAAAAGGGGGTGGCTTTTCGGGTCTGTGTAGGGGCCCACAGCCACATTAAAATTTGATTTATTAAACCTTATGTACATTTTGGACAAAAAAAGGGGGAAAATTTATTACATTTTCTAAGACATTTCCGATGAGTGGGAATACAAACACATTTTTACGGGGTATTCATATACGCCCCCCCCCCCAACATGCACACATACGTGCCGCAAATAAACAAAATTTAACTGCAATGAATGCAAAGATTCTGCAGTCTGCATTATATCTACCACAACTTTGTCTATCCACAAAAGGACTCTATTTTTGAATAAAATTTTAACAACCAGTGTGTATAAGAGATGTTTATTCGAGCTTGCCGTAAATGTTTGCCCTAAACGTAATCTTAATAATTTTTTAAAACTTTTTTTTCTCTTTCCATGGTTCATTTAAATATCAAATACGAGGGCTGTTCGGAAAAATTTTAGACAATTACATTTACTCCTTAAAGGACGGAGATAATTTATAAAATTCATCAATATCTTATAAAGAACGTCTAAAACACTAAAGAAAATTTTCAAATTTCATAACTATATAAGGTTCTGTGAAGTAATAAATATCATATTCTATCGACCCGGAGCAGCCTCGCTACGTCATTTAACCTGTTAACGTTACGTTAGCAGTAGATTGTTTCGCATGTGAAACGATCGGGAAGCGTTTAATACTTTTCCTTCTTTGTTATTACATAAATAACATTACAGAAATCAAAGTTCTTTTCTTAAACTATTCTTTAAAAAAGTATGCTGTTGACCCCAGTCAAAAAATTTCATTTATCGGAAAGAACCACTTAGAATCATGCGCGCTATTTGCAACGCGGGTTAAATACCGTAACGATATCAATACTGTATGTAATAACTCATGGTCGTCCAGATCTTTTGATTTTACTCTTGTTTATTAAATTGCTAAAAAATGTATACCAAGGAAATAACAAACCCTAACACATCATTTTTTTTTCTCGTTGTTATAGTTTTAGCAGGTCGTTCAGTCTTAAAAAGAGTTCTACATTGCGCTACACAAAATTTTAGGTATGTTCACTGCTCCGCCCTTAACGTCAAAATCCATTTTTTTGTTGTTAGCAGTTTTTCCCGGTTTTTTATTTCCCCCATATTTCTGATCAAAATTCTATAAATTGCACAACATGAATTTGAACCAAAGCTGAAAAATTATACACTTAAACTAAATTATTTTAGCTTCATTATTGATCCACAAAGGGGTTAAATTTTGGGGTTTCATATTTCAAATGTCTGATTCCGCGACTGCTCCGGGTACCCCTACTATTGACACATTTATATACAATTGTAAAAAATATTTAATATTTTTAAAATATTTCTTGCTCTTATTAATTTTAAGTGTATGTCAAATGTATGTGCCAATTTTCACTGAAAAACTTTCATTAGAAAGCAAAATATACACAATGTCTCAATAATTTTCGAACAACCCTCTTTTTTCCCCCCCCCCCCCCAAAGTTATAACCTTTTGACTACGGAAATGTTGTTCAAGTTCATATTCTCACCCTTTTTGTGAATATAATAAATGTAGTAAGTAAGTGTAAAAAAAAATAGTATTGACAGATTTTGGGGAAATTTGGGAAATTATCCCCCCTACCGAATCAAACAATTGTTTTCTTTTTGTGTTTATATCCCCCCCCGAATCAAACAATTTTTTTTTTTTTTTTTTTTTTTTTTTTTTTTTTTTTTTTTTTTTTTTTTGCTTGTCAAATACTTTTCAAGTTCGTTCCCCCTTTTCAAATTCGATTCTATATGTGACTGCTATGTTAGCGATTTTTTAAAATAAAAGACGAGCATGACAAAATCAACTTGTATTTCATAGTGGGGGATTGAATGTGTCAAATTATATCGATTATGATAAAATTTGTGTATTTTAAGTGATTTAATCCAAAAAATGTATATTCCGTTTTCCGTTCCGTTCCGCTTTCCGTTCCGTTTTCCGTTCCGCGTTTTAGCAAAGTTATTTAAATATCTCTCTTACTTGAATAAGTACAACGTACTCCATGCATTTCCGATAGTTTTTTTTTTTTGGGGGGGGGGGTGTATCCACTCAGGCGGGGACCCAGGAATTGAAGTTAGAGGGGGTGCCAATTTAGGCAAGGGGTTGGGTCCGCCTTGAGGCCCCCAGTGGGTCCAGGGCAAAGCCCTGGTGGTGGCCCCCAAACATGCATGTTTTTTCGGCCTTCTTCAGTTCGGCCCGCAGTTTGTTCGGCCTCGATTTTTTCGAACTCTAGCAATTTCGGCATTAGATACCTAGTCGTTTGGCCTAAGTTGAAGAAAGCGACAAAAATGATATAGAAATGGTGTGAAATAAATCTTTATTGAAATTATTGTATGTTGCTGTGTCTTTGAAATTGAATTTGATAAAGAAAATTTATTGTTCAAAGTGGTAGAAAACTTCCATGCATTACGGTGTATGTGTTAACGTTATATATAACTTAATTATTTTACTTTTGCTGTTAGGCATGATTAAATAAACCAGAATAAATAATAATTAAGAATTAAGAAAATGAAAAAATTATTCGACAATCAACGTTTCGGCATCTCGTATTTGTTTGCAAAAAATTGAAAATAAAAAATACCTTTATATACCGGTAAACAGGTTAAAACTGGTCTGTATTCACTGTTAGCGGTATCCATAAATAATAAGTAGTTCTTTTTTGACAATTTTAGCAACGAATTATTTATTTGTTTTAAAATTGTTTTATAGGGTGAAGTGTGATTAATGAAGGTAAAGACAAAATTTCCCGCAAACTCACATTGCGGTGACAGTTGTCCTTTCCCCCGTAAACAATATATAACTTAAGGTGTTAGAAAATGAGGGGGCTTATTGAAGGATTCCACACGATTTCAATGTATCACTTGTTCCTAAACAGCACCCGAAGAAAATCAGCAATGACAGTTTTGTTTTGAAAATATTTTATTGGTAATCAAAAGGATAAGAAACAAGTTCTAACAACTTACTAGTTCTCCTTAAAAACACATAATAAATTTCACGCAAAATAATATCAAAAACGTATAAAAAAATTAAATAATATATCTAGCTAATTCACATGTGTCACTTATGAATTTATGAACAGCGGCAAAATGTCAATGTTTAATTCAAATGAAAAGTTTTCGTGGCCCCAGAGAATTAAGTGTACATCTGTGATGTCTAAATCAAGCAAAAAGATGTTCAAAAAGATTATACTTCGAGAATCAATATTTTTTTACACAAAGAAAAAATGATAGGCATCATCTTGTTTCCACAATAGTAACAAGGATTATGATAATATTACGTTTCAATAATTTTCTTGGTTCAATATACAGTTGTGCCTTACATGTAATTTAGATGAATAATGTTAGTAAGGACGGTTTTTAAGGTACACACCTCCAAAAATGATTTGGTGGGGGGGGGGGGGGGGGGGAAGTTGTTTTGTATTAAAAAATAAAAATATATAAACATATCCCCTTATCATGTGTATTTATTTTATTAGTTTTTTTTCCTTTTTTGTGTTATCTTACTTTTTTGCTAATCGTAGTCTCCCAAAAAAAAAAATATTGATAGACCGGTCTATCAATATAGGGGAAACTCGATTGCAGCTACTTACTTTTTTGATAAATTTTCTGCGAGTACAAAAATTGTCACAAATATTTTTTTAAAAAAAATTGTCCCCAGTGATAATTTTGTTAAAATCATGATTGAATTTTTTTTTAAAAGAACTTAAATAATTGATTAAAATCAAATGTTACGCAAGCTGACAACAGAATAAGATACATGTATTACGATTGTATGCCATCGAGGTAAATTACAATTACAAAATTTTCGATTAATCATACATTAATATGTAATATTTTCATTAACCCCCATCTTTAGATGCCAGATGGAATTTTTTTTTAAATAATTGCAATTTTTAAATCAATTGTAATGAATATAGTCATTAGAGGTCATTTATTACATGGGTTGCACCCCATGATCATTTAATTTTTAAAACCCAATTATATGACATCGTGAAGATTCATACAGAGCCTGCTGGTGTGAAATTTATTGCATTGAGATATTATATATTTTTCTCAGTTTCACAATAATGTGTTGAAAGTGATAAAATGTAGTATAGATTAATGCCACCAGAAAGGCAGAATTTTGAACATCAATTAAGTTTATTATTATTTTTAGAAATTCGGTATCTGCAACCTTAATACTTCTCAATTATTGGAAAAAATTTCTCCAAAATAGATATTGAAGAAATCAGAATTAAAGAGCTTAAGAATTCAAATATTTATAATCTAAATCAATTTTATTCATTTATTTTTTTTTAAATCGGAACTTCAGAACTTCGTATAACTGAAATTGGGTTTTTTG